TTTTAATATAAATATGATTACTATTGGATAATTATACTAATGGATACTAATGGATAATTAAGTGTACGAGTATAATAATTTTCATTGCAAATATATCAATAAATTTCCATTTTAAATCTATTTTTTCTCATTATTTTTTATTCAACTTTCTACATTCTTTTAATTGATATAAAAATATATAATAATTTAATTAAAAATTTAAACTTATAATATTAATAAAACAAAAAAATATAATATAAAATTTGAAATAATAAAAATAAATAATCTTTTATGATAGAGAAAAAAAAATCATTAATAATATATAGTTTTCTTGGAAAAAAATATGTTTATTTCATATATTTACATAGAATAACATAAAAATAATAATATATTTATATAAAATTAATGAAAATTATTAAAAGTATAAATTATTAAAAAGTATAAAGAAATATGTGAATAATAAACAGAATATTTAATACATTTATTACAGAATATATATTATAACAGAATATTTAACATTTAATATAAAAAATCGCGAAATATGATTAATAATTATAATGTGATTAACAATATTATATGATTAATAAAATTTTAATTATGTTAATGTATATTCTTTTTAAATATTCATTTCTTTATTGAGACAGAATGTCAATGAAGAATCTAATTGGATCAGATAAATAATGAAAAATGTTTTTATATTAAAATATGCATGATATTTATAATTTAATTTAATTTAATTAAATTTAAGTAGAAATCTTCTATTTAATTGACATTTAAAAAATATAAATAGAACAATATAAATAGAAATTTATAAAATTCATTAGCTATTTATATAAAAAAACATAAAAATAATAAATTAACAATAAAATATTAATAGTAAAAATTAATAATCAATATAATAATATTTTATTATTGAAATAATTTTTATTTATAATCTCTTTTTTTTAAATATTAGAATAAATTTTAAAGATTATGTAAATTCTTTAATTATTATAAATAATATTATGTAAATAATATATATTATAAAATAAAATAAAAATTTTTGAACTATTAGCATTTATATAATAGATATTTTTCATATATGATATAAATAATTTGTATTTTTTTAAATAAATATTTTTTTAATTGTCAATTTTTTTATTGTAAATAAATTCTTTAATTTCATTAGAAAAAATATTTTATTTTTTAAGAAATTGTGATATATGATTAATTATTTATAATTAATTAATTATTAATTAATTATAAAATAAAAAAACTGTTTTCTAATTTTATTTTATATCTATTATTTTTTTATTAAAATCTATTAAAACTTTATTAATAAAATTGTTATATTTTTCATATTTTTATTTATAAAAATAATTTTTAAATGTAAAGTTATATTTAACAAGGATATAGTATTCTTCTACAAATGCTATTATCATTGAATCATATATAATA